ATATCCAAACATTTTCCGCACAAGGACTGTTGATGAATGATACAATGTAAGACTAATGGTTTTGAACCACCATCATTTTCTACAGCCTTTGACACAAGTGCAACCACTCCTTTATTTTTACCATACATATTTTTGCCTCCATCAGTTGTTATAGATTTCAAATTTCTCCATCGAAGGTTCTTTTTATTAATGACATATTCAACTCCCTTAAAAATATCTACCCCAGTAGTCGTGCCGTGAATACTATCAATATCAAGAAGTTCTTCATATACTTCATAGCTTTTATCTACTCCGCGAAAAAAATCAACATCTGAGTAGTATCCGACACATCTGTTGACTCATCCAATGCTAGAGAAAACCACTCATGATGTTCATTTTTGTCAGACAGTTGAGATGATATATTTTCTGCGATGTCTTGCACCCTCCGAGCCACGGTGTTTGCTGATAAACTGACACTTTTAAATAAATTTACCTTTTCGGGGCATATTTCTTCGGCTACTGCAATCAAGCATTCTTTTATCATTTCTCCATCGGTGAATGGTTTGCCACGTTTTCCGATTTCAAGAGCCACACGAAAGCTGGCGCGAGTTGCAGACTCTTGTTCAGTATTCGCTTTGGTAAACAAAGATTGCTGCGATTTGAGTCCGCGTTTCAAAGCTTCAAATTTTTCCTTCCGCAAACTTCCTGTATACTTGGAGTAACTTTGAAGATGTTTCGATTCATAGTGTCGTTTAATGTTATAGTCTTTGAGAACAGGTATGGTTTCATTACAAATTAAACATAGCGCCTTATTACTGGACTCAATCACAAAATACTGAAAGTTCCATTTTCCTTGGAACGTTCTGCATTCACTGTCGATTTTTCGCTTCTTTTCCATACTAACAAATCACACATAAAAACAATAAGTCCAATCAAAATACTTTTATTGACGGGTGTTACTTTATTTCACAATAGACAGTTTCGTTTCCTTCGCCTTCCCTACGCAGACTAACTCGCAGTTGCGTCGCTAGCCTTTTTATATGTAATTATTACTGCCATCTCGAGGTGATCGGAATACACTAGCTAGAACCAGAACATTCTCGAACCAACGCGGTAATTCCAAATATTTAATTACGCCTAATGCCACCTAGCGGGTAGCTGAAGAAGATAGTAAATACTACCACTACTCGCCACTAGATGTCGTTAAGTGTCATAATACACAATACTAATTGAAATGCAAAAAAGCGTAAGTTTGCTTAGGTCACGCACTTTGCGACTATCCTAGTCTAGAAATATAGTTATGGCCCGATGGCTTCAAAGTTTGGAGACCCCTGAGTTAGAATATTCTCATTTAGATTATTTCTCATTTAGCAGAGACTTGGACTGTCGGAAGACAGTGTGTGTCGCCTCTGTCTGGAAAATGATGAAACTGCAGAGCATATACTTTGTGCCTGCCCCGCTGGGGACCGAATCAGGTTCTTTGAGTTCGACAGATCCGTACTATCACCATCTGACCTGAAAGACCACTCACCATACAAACTTATCGGCTTCGTTGAGAAGCTGAGTTTATTTGGCTGAGTGTGAATAGGTGTGAGCCACAATAAACCCTTATGGGTTGCGGTGGAGGGTCGAATAGACCCACTCACTATAGACCTACCTCCCTACCTATGGTCGTTCATCTTCAGTTACTAGTCGAGTTGAATCTGAATTTTCACTCTTTATCTTCCCCCTCAAATTAATAGTTGAATGTGGCGTTCACCGAAACGGGGCGTGGACAAGCTTGACGTCACATCAGTCGACTCGGCGACAAGGGAGTGCCGGCGTATAAGCCAAATACGTGTGCCAAAGCCGTAGAAAGCAAGTTGTGTGTTGTTTACTGCAGTGTGTCAACTGCGTGAATACGAATAATGATAAAAAAGAACGTTACAAGTATTGCATCGTTCCTAAATGCAAGAAATATTCGGTAACTGCACCAGACAAAATTTTTATTTCACTGCCAAGTAACTTAAAATCACGAAAGTTATAGCAACGCGCTATGCGGAGGGCCGACTTTGTATCTGCCAAGGGGGCGCATTTTTGTTGTGCAGATCATTTTAATGTAAGTATGAATGATAATAATGATTAAACTATGAAAGTGGGAAAAATTATATTGAAACCAGGGGTAATTCCGCATGTATTTGATTGCCAGATTGATAGACCGACGGCACATACATCTAAAGCTCGACCGTTTGTTCAAAAAAAAGGAAAAACAAATTTTGTTAAATACTTGTAACGAAGATATCGCTGAAAATCAAAGCATGTCTGATGAAGCAGGTACACAGGAAAAGAACTTTGATGTTGAATTTCAAGTTAATAAACAGGTTTTTCGAAGATCAAAACCTACACAGACCGTAAATATTATATACCACCAAAAAAGAAATCGTTCTAAAGAAGTAGAAAATACAAAGAGTATTGGAAAAAATTACGACAAAGTTGATGTTTCAACAGAAGTCAAACATGACTTCTGTTGAAACATCATCAGATTCTACTTTGTCTGGAATATTTGTTCAAAACTGGAATTCGAAAACAATATTGAGCTAAGATCTATTTAGGTCATGGAGAAAAATCCGAAATTATTTCTTGGAGTCGCAGGGGATTCTTTATTTATTATAGAAATTTTGTGTCAAAAATGCCAGTTACCCAGAATTGATATATACATTATTTTGAAGAAAATTGAATTGACGATAGCAGCGAGTCATAATAATCTCCAACTACAGGCCCGGTTGCCACAGCTCAAAGCTCACATTTTCAATTGCTCTTGCTCAGTTGGTAATTGATATATAAACAGGAAAATTTTGTGGGATACTTGGGAGATGATTTACTTTTATAGTATGTAATTTTCAATAAAAAACTAAATGAGCCTGAATGAGCCCATTTTGTACAGGTGTAGGCCCAATAGGGAATATGCATAAAAAATAAAATGGCCTGATTTTTTTTTCGGACCTTTTAAGGTCCTAGTATTACACCAATTCGTTATTTTCTAATTTAATATGTATTTAATCATTTAAAACATAAATCAAAAAGTGAAAAATTTACGAGCGAAATTGAAATTTGTAAAATGCCCCACCATTGGTCGAAATGAAACGTGACGTCATAGGGCATGTCCTGTCAGTCACCTGTGATTGTGTTGGAGAGAAAAATTGGTTGTATGGCTATTCTAGCTTAGTTTTCTAATATTTTAATGTCAAGAAATACTAAGCGTCATCAACAGCAATGGCGGACAACAGTTTTGTAAAAGCCCAGCCCTACAAAAAAAAAATTGTGTTGCCCTGGATATTTTTGCAAATTTTTATGTTTTCGAGTGCCTAAATCACGAATATATTTATGAAAGTACTGAATGTGCTCTATTTTTTATGATTTTTCCGTATCTTGTATTTTTAATAATAATCGGCTTGTTAGTAAAAAAAAATTATTTTCTCAGTCATGATTAGGCTTCTGCGCAACTTCTTTGCGCGTACAAACATCACGTGATCCCCACTAATCCTTGTGGTACGCCCCATAAGATATCCTTAGTTTGTGATAGTTTTTCGTTTGATCTTACTACCAGTCATTACACACTCCTCTAAAGCCATAGTCGTTCAACTTTTGCAAAAGAAGTTCGTGATTTACACAATCAAAAGCTTTGGAGAAATCGCAGAATACTGCAGCTACGACCTCACCTTTGTTGAGATGTGTGTAGACATGGTCAAGAAAGGAAAAAATTGCAACATTTGTGTCTTTTGCCTTCTGAAAGCCAAATTGACAGTTGGTTAATATATTGTATTTATAAAGAAAAGCTAATACCCTTTTTTTCACCATTTTTTCTATGATTTTTGAGAGTGTTGAGAGCGTGGAGATAGGTCTGAAGTTATTTGGATCTTCTGCATTACCACCTTTGAAAATAGGAATTACAAGAGCTGTTTTTAGACACGGAGGGAAATTTCCAAGGGAAAAGGATTTATTTATAGCCATCACTAGTGTATTCAAAGCGGAATCGGAAAGGTTATTTAAAATTTTTACTGAAATTTCATCAATGCCTGTTGCATTTTTGTTTTTATTTTCTTGCAAAATTTCTCTCAGCTCTAATAAATTTGTGTCTTCAAAGTGAAAGTTGTTGGCCACATTTACATTTTTTAAATAATCCATTATATTTTATATAATTTATAAGTTGTACAGGGTGGGCCATAGAAAACTTGACATGGAGGTTTTGGCTACTAATCTTGCAAATCCGAAAAAACGCTCAGACAGGTCGATTTTTATTGGGAGGGGAACAGTTTTTTCCCCATTTACAGCGTCGTCACTTCAACCCCGGAGCAGAGACGTGAACAACTCTTGGAATTTCAAAAGGTAACGATTCGCACATCGTTTGAAAGATCTTGGAATTCTCTAAACAATAGTGTACACTTTTTTAAATTTGGACGTATTTAAAAGAGTTCTTTCCGATAATTAACTTATTCAATATTGTTAATAGCAACAAATTGTTGTTTCTTACGCTACTTTTTTGTTAATTTTTTAGTTCTTTTCTGATAAGAGGACTATTACAATTGAGAAATGGTTAAAACTGCTGTTTCAATTTCTCATTTTCATGTTAAAAGTGATATCTACATTATTACTAGTAGTATGGAACGCCGTTTTACTTTTTATTGTTCGCAAAATTTGTTCTATTTTAAATGACACTTGATTTAAAATGTTACATGAATAAAATTGTTATTTGAATAAAAAAGAGTAATGAAATAACTTGAAGCTTTTATTGATTCCGAAGAAAAATATTGTTTCAGAGTATTGGAAAATGGAACGCCAATTTATTATATATTATGCTGANACTTCCAAAAATTTCAAACAATGAATCTATATTATAACTGTTCGCAACTTTTCATCAAAAAATTAATTCATGTAACATTTTAAATCAAGTGTCATTTAAAATAGAACAAATTTTGGGAACAATCGTTTTTAATGTGTCGAACAAATGCATAAATCAATTAAATTCAAACAAATACATTGTTAGTTGAATAAATTGAGGAATGAATATTTGTGACAATAAAAAGTAAAACGGCGTTTCATATAATAGTGAGTGCCGTAAAGTGTTGCTAAAGAAACAATGGTTTACACAACTGCAGAGAGGGTTGAGTTGATTGACTGTACTATGGAAATAGACGTTGTGCTGCGAGTGCCGCTGAACTGGTCAATCAACAACATGAGAAGAATGTGTTGCGACAGTATGTTTTCGATTTAATTGCAAAATTTCGCGCAACTGGATCTGTAGCAAACAAAAAACGGCAAATCGAACCACCAGTAACAAATGAGGGGACACAAGTGGCAATTCTGGGCCATGTTGAGCTTGACCATACTTTGAGCACAAGAAAGTTAGCATTTGTTTCCGGGGTGTCACGAACTAGCATTCGACGTATTTTAAAAACCCACAAAATGCATCCTTACAGGATTAAATTAACGCAAGAACTGAATGAAGATGATTTCGATCGACGCTAGCAATTTTGCGAGTTAGTTAGTGAACGAGCGCTGGAAAATCCACATTTTGTTTTCAACAGTGCTTCAGTGATGAATATTCTTTTTTTCTAAATTGCACAGTTAATCGCCATAATTGTCGCTATTGGGCTGATTCAAATCCTCACATTTTTCATGAAATGCATACTCAACGTCCACAAAAATTAAATATATGGGCTGGAATTTTTGGTGACCGTATTGTTGACCCATTGTTTTTAGGAGGCGATTTAACCGGACAAGTGTATCTGTAGCTTCTGGAAGATACTATTAATCCCCTTCTTCTCACTGATATCATTAAAAATGACCACAATTATCAGGTAGATCTGTTAATATTTCAACAAGATGGGGCTCTTCCGAACTATGCTCTGTCTGTTCGGCAGTATTTATATCAGACTTTTCCGGATCACTGGATTGGGAGGCGGGGCACTATCGAATGGCCACCACGATCACCAGACCTCTCGCCGTTAGATTTCTTTCTGTAGGGTCATTTGAAAAGCAGAATTCACTGTACTCCTCCTGCATCACTCGAAGGTTTACGGCAAAGAATCACGTTCGAGAACTTTCCAGCAGAATCTCTATTATTGCATGGAAGCTGGAGGTGCCCGTTTTGAGCATATGCTAACATGAGAATAAAGTAAGTAACTTCAACTCTAAATTTAATATGATTCGTCCAACTTAAAAAAATGTACACCTTTGTTTAGAGAATTCCAAGATCTTTTAAACGATGTGCGACTTGCTCCCTATTCCCTATTAAAATTCCAAGGGTTGTTCATCCCTCTGCTCCGGGGTTGAAGATACGACGCTGTGAATGGGGAAAAAAACTGCCCCCCTCCCAATAAAAATCGACCTGTCTGAGCGTTTTTTCGAATTTTTTGGCAAACATGGTAACATTGTGGAAGATCATTTACATAAAGAAGAAACAGCAGTGGTCCAAGAACTGAACCCTGTGGTACCCCAAGTTTCACAGCCTGACTGTGTGAAATTGAATTATTGCATCTCACTATCATGGTTCTATCTGTGATATAAGATTGTATCCACTTTATTATATTGGCTGGAAGTGCTAGAGGCGCCAATTTATCTATTAAAGTTTCAATACACACTGTATCAAAGGCTTTTGACAAGTCGAAAAATAATGATAGGACATATTTGTTGTTGTCAATCTCTTTATATATATAATTAAGCAAGTGACACGAGGCTGTTTCAATCGACCTGTTTTGCCTGAAACCATGCTGAGAAGTACTTACTAATTTATTCTTTTCTAAGTGATAAATCACTCTTGTAGACACTATTTTTTCAAACAATTTCGATAAAGAACTGAGAAGAGAAATTTGCCTGTAGTTGTCAACTACTTTTAGGTCACCTTTTTTGTGCAGAGGAATTACCAATGCTTTTTTAAATTCATCTGGAAAGAACCCTTGTATAAGTGATTGATTCATTAGGTATATAAATGGTTTTAGTATTAAGTCAATAATATTTTTTATAACTATAATCGATAATTCATCATATCCTGAAGATGTCTTATTTTTCATTCTATTAAGACAATCAACTACTTCATATTCTGTGATAGGGTAAGATGGGTATGGATAATTGATGGTGACATTTTCTACTCTAGTACAGGGAAGAGACATATTCTGACCAAAATGATTTAACATTGCGGAATCTGATGCATTAGCGAAATGCTCAGCAAAAGTTAATGCAACTTTGTGTGGGTCAGAGATAACGGTATCCTTCTGCTGAAGAATGATTTTTTCTTTTCCATCTTTCTTTTTTATACCTAATTCATTATTAATAATTTTCCAGGTTTCTTTAGTTTTATTTGCGGATTTATTTATTTTCGACGAATAATGGTCTCTTTTTGCCTTTTTAACTTTTTCTTTGTGTTCTTTAACTTTTGCCTTGTATCCGTCCTTTAGAATGGAATTGGTTTCATGAGAGTGTGATAAAATCCAAAACATATCCTTCAACTCTTTACTTTCTTTAGTTATTTCATTTGTTACCCAACGTTTTGTGTTATTACCATTGTTTCTTATNAAAAGTTAATGTTTATTTTAACACCCAAAAAAAAAAAAAAAGTAAACTTTTCAAAATAAAGTACATGAATACTTACTTCTTTGGCAGCAGCTATGTCGATGAATTTTTTTTCAGCAATCTTCTTCATTTTCTCATCGTTCTGATAATTATCCGGATGCCACTTCTGCGCCATTTTCCTATAAGCTTTGACGATTTCTTTTTTGCTCGCGGTTCTCTTAACTTCCAATATCTTATAATAGTCTCTTTGTTCTGCTTGTTTTTGCCGCTTTTCCGCCTTGTTGAGCCCCTCTTTAGCTCTATCCAAATGAGAATTTATTTCTAAAGCGGAACGATAATCGCGAATTGCATCATCGTAAAGTTCAGTTTGTAGGTAAGCTTCTGCTCTATCACAGTAAATATTTGGATCTTCGTTATAATTTAGAGCTTCTGTACACATTTTTATGGCTTCTGAACTTTGTTCATCATTACTATAACATGTACATAATATTTTTTTACTCTCAAAAATTATATTTGGGTTTTCTTTTTCGTTCGTCAAAACCTTGTTGGCTGCTTCTATACATCTCGTATAATCGTTGCTTTCCATCGCGTTCTCGGCATCGACCAACAGTTTTTCTATTTTCTTTACTTTTTTATAGAACGGAAAACAGTCTTTATGTTCCGGATCTAGCTTCAAGCACTCTCTGACGGATTTCAAAGCTTCGGTAGCTTGCCCCACTTTATATAACAACTGTGCGAGTTTGTAGTAACCGTCAGTATCATCACTTTGAAGCTTCGCGGCTGATTTCAAATCAGATATGGCAGATATTTCATCTCCGCTCATCATGTACAACTCTGAACGAAAATCGTACAATTCTGGAGCCCAGGGACAGACTTCAATAACTTCTGATATGTAATGAATTGCAGAAGTGAAATCACCACGTCCATAATGGAATTCGGCATTTCTTTTCCGTTCCTTTACAGGGTCAATTTTCTGTATGAGGCTGTTTGCTTCGGCATTGTAAGGATCGGCCTTCAACTGAAAATTAGTGATAGGTAGAAATGGAACTTCTGACGTGAAATACATCTATTTAAAACACAAGAAACAAGTACTGATTCTCGATGATGGTAACTCGGTTAGCGAAACGCACGTCGAGAGTCAGTACTTTTGTTCTGGTTAGGAAAAAGTGTTTTTGAAAATTAGTAATTATGCAAACTTTTATATAGTAAAATCCCAAAAAATTTAATTACACACAAATTTTTGTGTGAAACCACACCAAATTGTAAAACAATGTCATTTTTTCTCAACGTGGGTGGCAAATGGTTCACAAGTATTGGCAAAATGATCGGCAAAAAGATTCAAATCAAATCAAATCAAAGCATGCTTTATTACCTGAAGAATAGAATCCTTATTGACAAAACTTCTAAATATAATAGTACATAAATCCTAACTGCTCAAAATGAGCAGAAGGTCATGATAATTAAATAAAATTAAAATTATGCAAACCAATATGGATTGTCAGATGTTAAAAGTGGATGTACTTAATGTATACAGGGCTTTTCATGATGAGCGTTAATTAGCCGTTTCTGACAAACTATTTAACGGACCAACCTGAAAATTCCACAGTATGCGTAAGTCAATATGACCTACACGCCTAAAATATTTCATACGAAGCGGCGTTGTCGCTTTTACTATAAAGTAGCGGCTTCTTTGATTTTTCAAATGGAACACCCCGTATATAATATCATATTATGATTCATTATCACTTTGTCAACAAATTCATACACATTTCCCTATACCTATCTATTACCGTTTAGAAGATATAAATTAATTTCGATATTTTTTTTACCAAACATGAACTTTTATAAATGCTGATAATCTTGAACTCTCTT